CTAGTTCTGGAGGGATCTGGATCTGCGAGGTGGAACCCGAGTTTTATTTTTTTTGTTGTGTAAGCATGACCTGGAGAGCTACTCTAGCTGGTATCCACCACATCAGATGAGTGAGTTCATCCTTCGAGTAAGGTATTTATTCTGCAAGCTGATCGTGTTCCCATCGTGGCAACCCCAGTAAGTGAAATTAAGGCCATTTGCCATTGCTTAATTTTAAATGCCTACTTAAGTCTTTAATCTATTTGTATCAACCATGTCATAAACCCGTGATGAGCTCATAACGCGTTATTAGGTCATAAGTTAGGTTAAGTTATTGGGATCCTTTAATTAGTGTAATTACTGTTATTTTGTTTTCCACGCTGTATATTTAAATATACTTATTTTGTTCTATAATACTTGTTAAGTATTTCATTAGTATATTAAATATACTTATTTTGTTCTATAATACTTGTTAAGTATTTCATTAGTATATTAAATATACTTATTTTGTTCTATAATACTTGTTAAGTATTTCATTAGTATATTAAACATACTTATTTGTTCTATAATTAATGCCTCACCTGGCTTGGGGTACTTGTGAAATAATTTTAATTTGTTGATTAAAGATACAGCCAACTAAATTTCCGCCTAGTTTCATTTTTAGTTATAGTTGCCTGGTGCATTTAAGTTAAGACCCTAAGTCTAGGAATCAACCAATTTGGTGGTTTGGTGGTTGATTCAATACTCCTAGAGGGTATTTGCCGTCAAATTTAACCTGGTGCCCCCCTTTCAACTTTATTTATCGGACTAATCCCTTCTCCGGCTCGAGCTACTCGCGGTGAAAATACCCAATTGTCGCCCAGGATAATTGGAACCCCCCTTGTCATTGTTGACAACCGTCTCAAGTCTTAATTAACCATTTGTGTTGTGTTTAGGCGTCGAGACGGTTGGCAACGTGGCAATTATTAATCTATTTTTCGCTTTGTAAAATTATTTATTACATCTATTTTATATAATAAATCGTAAAAATTGAAATATATGGTAATAATTAATGTTTAAAATACTCCAACCAATAAAATTAAATAATAAACTGACTTAACGATGCGACGACACTGGCTTCTTCTTACTTTGCGGATACTTTTGACTACAATGCCGCACGACACGATATTCCAGTCTGTCTACACAGGTTATCAGTTCATTTCAGCGACGTAGAGAGAAATAATAAACTGGACTACTATATTCCAATTCGGAGTTGAGTTAATAATTTTTAGTATTAAAATAAGTGTATTACTATCGTCCAGGGGCATAATAATGATATACTCCTGGTAGAGACTCCTTTTTAGATGTATTCATACATAATATTTAGTGAATTTTTTTTTGAAGCATCTTCAAACGGAAGCCGAACTTTTTTTTCCATTATCGGTATTTCTTTGTAGTTGACTTATTGTTTGTATGGACTTTTTTAATTATAAGGCCCTTACTATAAACTATGAGAAGACATCATTCATACCTTTTACCTCATATAATAATAATTTACCAACATATAAGTACCTTCAAATAATTCAGAAAGGAAATCAACAAATAAAAATTAGGTCTACCAATAACACCAAATACCTAGGAATATACATAGATTCTCATTTAAAATGGGATTTTCAAATAAATTATGTAATAAAAAAACTTCGATCAATTGTGTACAAATTTAAAAATCGTTCGAATTTATTAAATATTAAATATCTTAAAATATTATATTATGCTCTCCTGGAATCTCATTTATCCTATGGAATAATTGTATGGGGCTCCGCAGGAATAACACTTATAGAAAACTTACAAAAAATCCAGAAATGTATCCTAAAAAACATGTATAAATTACCAAGAATTTACCCGACTGAAATGCTCTATACGCATACACAATTTTTTAATGTGTACCAATTGTATGCCAAAATTCTATTGTTAAGACAATATAAAGATAAAACATACTCCGAACCTGTTATCCATCCATACAATACTAGACACAAAATCGATTCAATTACTGTACCAAGAACAGCAAAAACAATCGGCCAGAAATGCTTTACTTATCTGAGCCCTAAATTATATAATGAACTCCCCTCTGATATTAAAAAAATCAACTCATATAATTTATATAAAAAGAAAATTACAGAATGGATTCTAAGTTTACCATTCACAAAGTTAAAACAATTTCTTCATTCAAGTATATTTTGTTATAGTCTGAAAGATTACTGACATTCTTTCACTCGCGAAATTACGTGAAACTGTCAGCGCTTATCCCCAAGAATAACTAAATAGTTACCTATTTTATGTTTTTTATTTTAAATATTTTACAAAATTATTATTGTTGAAGCATGGAATAAAAAATGAAATTTCTCACCCCCGCTCAGGATTTTCCTTTTGTGGGGTTTCATTTTCATTTTTATTTACCAACAAAACAAATTATTAATTAATGTATACCTATGTATTTTAAATATTGTATTTTTTATGGTAAATAAAAATTACTGTTACTATTACTATAACTAAAATAATCCTTCAATTAGTTGAAAATCACTGTCTTTGGTTCGACGTTTTTTGTTTCGACTACGTTTTTGTTGGGATTAGGTAGTTCAAATCTGCTACGTAGATAGGTGTCAACCTAAGTATTTCTTCTTTTATTTTAGTCCTTGGGTATCTTAAATACTTTCAGTTATTGGAAAGTGGCTAATTGTCTTAAATGTTATAAACTTTTGGTCTAAGGGAGGAACTTTTAGAAGCCTGATTTTCCCTCTAGTTTTTTGTAGAGACTGTTTTTTTTTGGGTATATCTTGTACTGGTTACATTTATCGTAAATTACGGATTTTATACTCTGAAACAAAAATATACTGGTTAAATTTGAATTATTAGTTTTCTGTTGAAAATTTGCACTATAAGTGGATTTCCCGTAATTCAATTTAAACCTTTGAATTCCCCAAGGCCGGCCCCAACTTCAGCCTTTTTCTCCTACTCTTATTTTTCTCCTTTACTTTTCGTGCTATTTTCTTAGTCGTACTTATATTGGAAAAAACTACTTAACTGACTATTAGTAGCACTTTAGGTGACGTTGCTTGCAGCTCAGATAGAATTTAAGAGCTTATTGCATGCTGCTTGTTGACTATTTTCTTCAGTCCCGCTGATGCAATTTTCTGCATGCTGCTTTGCTATTCGCCATATTTTACTAGCTCTGTTACATCATCAAGAGCGTGCCTACTGCCTGGATATTGATTACAATTAGGGCAACCGTCAGTACTGGGTAATCCCTTGTATAGAAAAATAATTTCACCAACTTTCACTATAATATAAAAACTATCCAGACAGATTGTCTACTACAATAAATGTATGCTACCCATCAATTGTTTTAATTGGGTGCATAAACCCCTTTCGCTTTTTTAACGTAAATAGCTAGCCCAGAATAAATAAGTGTAGTTTCCACACTTGTAAAACTAAAAAGGGCTGTAACATGATAAAAAATTTAATGTTATTGGAAGCTTTTACATTTTTTAATATATAGTGAAATAATAGTTTTTGTTTCTCCTGTAAATTTGTATAGAAAAACTAATTATTTCTTAATCCATGTTTGAATTTACCGCCCTACAACATTTTTAAATATTTCCGCTATTTATGATTGGATACACGCAGCAGTAAAAGGCATTAGGAAAAGAAGAAAGTTGACAGGGGGCGCCATCATATACTGGTTGCGTTTACAATCGCCCAAACAACTTTTGCCGAACAAAAAAAAATACATTGAGTTACACGTCTCGCTGGGTTGTCTCTGATATCGGCGATCAAAAATTCTAATGTTGATGGAATTTTAAAAGTAATTTTCTACAAAACTTTTTTAAATGGTGTTGGCTAGAAAATCTATTAAGAATATTATAAATTTTCTTGTTTTCTTTAGATCGAAACTCCATTTATAACATTGAAATATTCTATACGAAGTTAAATTTTAATTGTAAACGACTTTATCAAGGAAACTTTCCGACTTATTAAGCATTTCTTTCTGTAATATTAAAAAAAAGTTAATTAAATTTTTCGCAGCACTTTGTGTTGACTTTTAATTAATACCGAAGTAAATATCTTACGACCTGCTAAGAAATTCTTTGTCGCAAAATAAAACAAGCAACTTAACCCTCCCCCTTCCCACAAAATGAGCCATTTTACGGTTTAATTTCGCCGCTAACATCACAAACTTTCACCATAAATCGTTAACACACGTGTACTTCTATGAGATTGCACGTGAGTTAGCATAATTTTAACAATATAATACAACGCCATCTTCAGGAAATTTTTCAATTTCTTCTCGAATATCGAGAGAGGCGCATTTTTTCTTGTCTTTTTATTGGATTTTTTGCGAAGTGCTGGCTCGAGAGGCTGAGGCGAGAGCGGAAGGACGCTATTTGCGGTGAGGCCGACGAGACTTGTTTCAAGTGTGAAGTTATGGTCCTGAATATTATCTATGATTTGTGTCTGCGAACGCGATCGGGAATGGAATTAACAAAATATTGTAAAACTAATGATATTGCTCAAATTTCATTTGCATAATAGTATACGAGAGTTACCATTTTTTCTTAAGTTAAGAATGAAGCAAAAAAGTAGTTTGTACATCAAGAAATTTGAGCACGACGCCGAAGGCGGAGTGCGATGTGGACAATCCACTTTAGTTGTACAGAATATTTTTTCTACGACCCACTAAAGACAATTTACAAATAAAAAAAAATAGTTTAGGTTATTAAGACAAAATAACTATTTTAAAATAATTTACGACTTATTATAAAATAAACGAAAAAAAAAAAGAAAAAAAATCTTTTCATTTTTCCCCATCCGAGAATTTAAATATTCTGAAGCTGCTATAAGGTTCGTACTATTTTAGTTATTTATTTATTTATTTGATTACTTTTTCAGTTGTATTAATTTATTATTATGAAATATATACATAACTATATCATATTTTATCTTTTGAAGTCGTTATGAGGGTAATAATTAACTTTTTGTTACAGTTCTTCAAAATGAAACGAAGGTTCTCTTGGAGAGGGTTATCCAGTGAAGAAGCGTATACTCTACTGGACGAAATTCCTTCGGAGGGATCCGATGGTTCAGAATCTGATATGGATGAAGTCACTGATATGCATATGGCTTTAGATGATCCAGATCAAGAAGTTGATGTGCTTAATGGACAAGACGAGTCCGACAGTGAAGTTGAGTTACCAGTCTTAGCTTCCCTTCAACAAAATAAACTAAAGTGGACAAACAACTCAATGTAACACAGCGCCCTCCTTTTGTAGAAAACGTAGGACCAACGGTTTTTGATACTTTAGAAGCTCCGTTAGATTTATTTTTGCATTTATTCAGTGAAAATTTAATAAATATTATTGTTTTCCAAACAAATTTGTATTCTGTACAAAAACTTGGCAAAAATAACACTCCAACAACTATAGAAGAAATAAAGTGTTTTTTTGGATTTAAATCTGTTGATGGGGATTAAGAAGTTGGCCAGCTATTGGGATTTCTGGTCTAGCAATTTTGTACTGAGAGATCAGTTTGTTTCTTCGTGCATGTCCCGTGAGATATTTGGATGGCTTCATCTATATCATCTTCATTTAAGTGATAATTCAGTAGAATATCCCAAAAATCAGGCACATTATGACAAACTGTACAAAGTACGACCATTACTGAATGAACCGTCATCGACTTATAAAAATGCATGTCTACCAAGGCAACAATCCATAGACGAATCAATGATTTAAAGGACGAAGTAGCTTGCGCCAATACATGCTCATGAAGTCGATAAAAAGGGGGTATAAGGTATGGATACGAGCAGATAAGTCGGGCTACGTCATGCAATTTCAAATATATACGGGAAAAGTAAAAAATGCAAGGGAGCAGAATCTAGGATCCAGAATCATAAAAAACCTTACACGAGGTTTAGTCGGAAAAAATTATGAAGTTTATTTTGACAATTATTTTAATTCTGTCGAATTACAACACGATTTGCTAAAAGATAATATACACGCATGTGGAACAGCTAGAAAAGATAGGCTCGATGTTCCTGATGAACTGAAAACTAAAAAGAAAATGAAAATGAAAAGAGGAGATTCTAATTGAAAAATATGTCAAGATGGCGTAGTAGCTCTTCAGTGGATGGATACACGAAAAAAAATGTGACTAGAAAATTTTACTACAATGTTGTAGTAGTAGACTTGTAGAAAAATACTTAACAATTTGTAGAAAATTTTACTACAATTTATAGTTAAAAACTATTCATTATTGTAGCAATTGAATTGTCGAATAAAATGCTACAACAATAGGAAAGAATTCCACAATGTTTAATATATTTTAGTATTGTTTGTAGAAGTAGAAATTTATTACAATTATCGTAATTACTACTACTAACTTCTGAAAAAATTTGTGCAAATATTAATAATTATCTCTACAAAAAATAGTAATTTTCTCTACATAAAATAGTAATAATTTACATCCTTCTTATGAAAAATATTCAACTTTGTTCAAAAATATTCTATAATATTGTAGAAATTATAAGTCATGTGAACAAAACAGAATTGTGCTATTGGCCAACGTTTTCTGACGTCGATCATAAATGGCCAGACAGCAGTAGCCGTTCGCCATGTTCACATAACAAAGCATGGTACATACGAGTACCTATAACAAACACATTATTATATTATAAGCACCAATGCGTTTGAGAATATTTTATTAATAAATTCTATTGGTGGTAAGTACATTTATTATTGTTTTTGAATAATTTACCTTTAGATAACCAATTTAAATAACCTTAGTAGATTATTTTAAAAAAAAAAGTTCTGGCCAACGATCGAATGTTGTGCCCAACGATCGAATTTTGTGCCAAATTCAATGATGTTTTTTTGTCTTAATTGTGACATACCTACTTTCTTATTTTTGTTAGTTATCTGACTTAGTCATTTAATATCCAAATCAGTGTAAAGGTGATAAATATCCCCGTTTTAATTTTTATTTCATATTTTTCAGGTGCAGAAAAGCCAACTGAGACTGAGGGTGCTATTATTACTGTTATTTATTACATAATGTAATTAAGACTTTGTATCTTTTATATTAAAACAATAAATTGAATATTTTATTAAAGAACATTTTTTTCTAGGTTATAATTATAATAATTATGGAATACTACTACAAGTTTTATTAAAAATTACTACAATTTGTATGAATTTTTACTATTTATTGTGTAAAATTTTCGTATTTATTTTCATAAAACGCAATACATTTTTAATATAAATTCATACAATGAATAGCAAAAATTATAACAATTTGTAGAACAATTCTTATGATGCATTTGGATAATTTTACTAAATATTGTAGATAATAACTCTACAATACATTCTCCACAAATATTTGGAAATTTTTACTACAAATTGTCCCTGTCCCTATATGTACTATTTATTGTAGAGAAAAAATCTATAATTGTAGAAATTTCTTCTACAATTTTTTTTCCGTGTAGGAAACCTATACTTTTCTTGAGTAATTTTCATAATCCGACAGAAAAGAACACTGAATAGAAAACAAAAAGATAGAATAGTGAAACAAGTGAAGTGCGAAAAATTAGTAAAGGACTACAACAAGAATATGGGATTTGTGGACGAAGCTGATATGCTAAAATTTTATTATGAATTAAATCGGAAATCTTAAAAGTGGTGGCACAGATTTGTTGTTTATTTTGCTGATTAACTCTAGTAAATTCATTCGTAATTTTTCAAAATCATACAATTGGTACCGCACTGACTTTGAAAGACTTCAAAATTGCTGTTGCCACAGCTCTAATTAAATCAGACCCAGAAAGGGACAAGTTAGGACGACAAAGCACAGAAAAGCCTAGTACCAAAAAGAGGTTCAAGATACAAGTTCCTAACGAAATAAAAACTGATAAGGCTGCTCATATGCCTCAGCATGGTTCTAAAGTGCGTTGTGCATATTGCAGTACCAAGGCAGAACCACATCGCACAAGATGGCACTGTACAACTTGCACAGTGGGTTTATGCCTCAGCCCAGCCAGGAACTGTTTTATTATCTTCCACGAAAAATAAATAGTTCGATTGCTAAACTTAATCTTTTAATGATTAAAAAAAAATCCGGCCGGAAAGGGTTTTAAAGTGCGTCCACTTGTCACATCACAAAATAATGTTTATGTCGTCTCTACCTACTTCATTCTATCTTCTCAACGAATTAGAAGATATGTATGCTGCGCCCTTCTTTGTGACGCCACTGTGAGCGTTGAGCAAAATAAGGTGATTTTAGTGATTTTAAGCAGGTCATTGTTCGTTTCACGGATCTGTTAATATGCTGACTTCTCTTTTTAGCTAGAGGCTTTCTCGAAAGAATTTCGCTTTCTAGGACTCTCTCAGAAAAGTGAGCCAAAAAGACACGATTAGCCAGAGCGCAGTGACGTACCAAAAAATAGAGATTAACACGTATGAAAACAATAAATTTATTAAAATAATGTGTTTTCATAAAATTTAACTGAGTGTTCACTGCACAAATGAACCAATGGAGAAAATATTTAGAATATTAGTATAAGGTGTTGGTAAATAAAATTATTTTGAAGCTTGACGTGGAACTTCTAAATTAAGCATGTGTAATGTGTACTAGACAGTCGCAGTTTATTTGATTGCTTAGGATCTTATACAGAGTAACTCCAAAAAAATATTTGCGCTTTATATCGAGACTTAAGAGTCCATGGATCAACTAGACCATGTCTAAAACTTAAGTATCGCCTCTGAATTCCTTCCAATTAACCAATGTACACTTGATACAGTAAACTCGATGTAAGTGACGCGTATTTAAGCTTGGATCGGACAAAAGCATAATACAGATATTTTATAGTGTCGATTTTCTTAAAATCATGACTATTTCTGATTATTAATCTATTCGCTCCGTGCGTGACAGCAGCGCCAATTCGTTTAAGGTACTAATGGAATATTTCTGCGTATACTGACAAATACAATTTTTAATAGAATTAGTAAGTAAAAAGTATATATGTTAGTTTTAATAAATGTATATGGATTTGTAAAACAAGTAAAACATTAATTTATTATTATTATATATTGTAATGTGAGCCATTTTATTATTCAATCATGCTCTAATCCTCCAAGTCCCTCTCTGTCTTAATTGGCCTTTGAGGCTCAACTTGTCTGATTACCATACATAATTAAACCCCTTAAGACCGAACATATGTGACGACAATGGCGGAAGCACTTTCGCGAACATTCCTGAGTCAACGTGATGTTTCTGGTAAATTCCGGATATGAAATGTTTTGGTTGATGAGGTTTCTGGAATCGGCAATTTGTATATAAATATTGGTGGAGGATCAACAAAAAGTCATTAGTAGATAGACAGTTGTGAATATAAATAGTGAACAGTTTAAAGACATTCGAAATATATATAAATTAGAATAATAGTGTTATAAAATATATAAGTGTTTAAATAAATTATTAATAAATAAACTATTGTTTTAAAATAAACAAACATCACAATATTTTAATCGCCTAAATAAAAAAAATAAGTATAATCAATAAAAATCAATAATAAAATATGGGCAGGGAACATTATTTACTGAGAACTGTATGAGAAGTTGCCTAAGTCTAATAAGTTGTCTTTGAAGAATCAACCTATTCTGTCAAAATAAAAAAATACCATTATATAATAGCGTGAAGTTAAAATATATAAAAAAAAGGATCGTTATTTATATTTTCATTTTTACTTTCCTATCTGTATACAGATAAGGAAAGTATAGGAATCATGATTTTTTTTTGTTCGAAAGAAAACAATAATAATAATATAATAATAATCTTTATTGTTTTTAGAATTTACAATTCTTAGTTTACATTACTATCGAGTACGAAATATATTATTATAGTAGTAGTAGTAAGTAATAAAAAAAGTGAGAAAGTAATCACAAAGTTAAAAGATTATTGATAACTACAGAACATACAAAAATATTAGTGGTACAAAAAAATAAATAAAAAATACAATTCTTAACCTATTGATATAAATAATTTAAAAAATACCACAGTTTGGGGAGTCTTTCGTCGTCCATGCCAGTGTACCCAGACTGATAAAAGTGAAATAATAAATAATATTTGCATTGTTTATTATAAATGATTTGAGCATTAGGATGTTCTACATATGCGTATTTATGGTT